AGCCGTGAGTGCCGGTGTCCGGCGGATCGCGCCATCCAGCCCCGCGGCCCGCGCGCCCCGACCGGGCACAGCTGCCCCCTCCTCTGCCCTTCTTCGCTCCTTTTCCCTCGCCGCCCTTCCCGGGGGAGGAGAATCCTTCGGGGGAACTTGCACCTCTGGCCTTTCAAAGGCGTTCTGAGGTGTTAGCGTACGGGTTACAGCGCTGTAACCACCACTATCTGTGCTTGATGTTGCAGAGAGAAGGAACCTGTTCGCTACGCGAACCTCATGTATGACAGGAGAGTGGTGCGCGGCAACACTTACGCCCTTCAAGTCATACCTGTGGTATGTTTTTTATGTAGATCGCACTCCGGCTTTGTTGAAAAGTAATAGGTAGTGCAGGAAAACTGTTCCTCATTAATAATTTTAACCACTGAGGTTGTAATTTTACTTAAAGTGTCTCACACAGTCACAAGCTCTCCAGTTAAACTAGCATGAGACTGGTTTCAGCCTTTCTTCAAAGTACTTGGCTTCCCGTGAACTTCCGTAGTTTGGATTATTTTTTTTGCCATTAGATACTTGATTCCCCCTCCCCCGCCATTTCTTTAGTGTCGTGATGACTGACACTGCATCATCTATTACTGTATGCATCCACAGGTGTTATCAGTGAGAACAGCAGCTCTTGGGAAATGAATTCTTGCGGTAGACTTTGGCTTACCCTTCTAAACAGGCAGAGCTAGATGGTCTAGCTGTATGTAAAAGCTGCTTGTGTGGAGGCAGAAGTATTTTATTTATCCTGATACAGCAGTAAATGTTTTAGTGATACTTTATTTTCAGAGACTATTTCTATATAGATACTTTGATCATGTAAGAGTTTAAAGCCGTCTGTGTTTTTGAAAGCTACTTTGTGGAAATAACTTTGTGTTGTTCAGTAGCTGTTTCTTAGAGTGAATTTCACTCGTGTTCTATTTCAGAAGTTTGAAAGTGGTGTTCATTTCAATTCACAAACACAATACTGAATATAAAAGTTAGTATGGGTTTCTTTTGCTTCATCAGCAATAAAGAAGCTATAATTTTTATCTAGCAAACAATTCTGTTGATAATATGATAACTGGATTTAAGTCCACTTGACCTTCTTAAAGCTTTACCTAGAAACTCTCACTTGTCAGCAAGAACGTGCCATTTTAATATACTTTATCTTGCAAAGTTCTGTATATAATACCCACTTCCAAATAGCAACTGATTGCTCTTAGTGTGAGATGTCATTAGTGTCATGCCTGTAGGCAGCTAGTGTACCTTATTAGTTTCATGCCCTACAGTCATTAAGGTAACTGAAAATTTAGGGTCAGGACCCAGAAAAGTATATCTGAAATGCTAGATTTGTAGCATTAAAATCAAACAACCACCTTTGCTTTCCTGTAGAGAGAAATGAGTATCATATCCAAGTACAAAGTGTAATCTGCTTTGTGGGTTTTTTTCTTTTTCATCCCTGCTCAGAGTACCCAACCCAGTCCCCTTGAGATTCAAAGGCAGAGGGAAGCACGGAAAAGAGCACTGGCTAGAAAGCATGCAAAAGAGCAAATGCAACCAAGAACACCTGAGCCTGTGGAAGGTAGAGAGCATATTCACGTGCAGACAGGTAAAAGGTTTGTTTTTTTTTTTAAAATTCATCTGAAAACAAAAACTTGCTGATTTATATTCACTTAGTAAATTGATAATGCAGTTGGTAGAATCACATATGGTTAAGGTTAGAATCATAGAATTCTAGAATCAGAGGTTCTCTAATCCTTTCCATTATAACCCTTTATTTTTAGTTGTATTTAATAAGCTTGGCTAATTAGTGACATTTTCCCAGAGGCTCTGTTTTTCAGTTTCCAGTGTACGTTCTTGAATGCTAGTCAAGACTTCTTCATTTATTTTTTCCTTTTCCAGTATCATCAGAGAAGTTCGGTATATGCTTAAAATTTTGCTTAAGAGTGCAGTCATATGTAATAATAAAAATACTATTAAAAACTGGAGGACACACCCTAATTTAGAATACAAAACCACCCTATTTGTGGGAAAACAAATTTATTTGTAGGAAAACCAAACTTTGGCAGTGCGGTAATCATGAGGTGAGTGTAATGTATTGCTGTGCCCTCTGAAAATCATTTCAGATTGGACTGACTTACAAACTGGGAAAACAGCTGTGTTACATGCTAATCAGACATGGTCTTTGGCTTCTGAATGTTTCCTCTGCCACAGAGGAACCTACTAAGTGAAATTCCATTTCAGACATAACAGGTAACATGGCATCAGATGGCCTGTGCAGCAAACTGATCTATGTTTTAAGTTGAGGTGTCGTTTTTGTTTTTTTTTTTAACGTTATAGAAGACATTTTATTGCACTCTTTGGGTATAATTCACCCTGTACAGTCATCAAAAATAGTTGAGAGTTAAAATAAAAAGAATCCAACCGACAGCATTCATTGTACTTTTATTTCTAGAGCTGTATTTGGAAGAGATTAGTGACCGGATAATAGAGGTTGATACAGAGTGTCAAACAGATGCATTTTTGGACAGACCAGCCACTCCACTCTTCATACCAGCCAAAACAGGAAAAGATGTGGCCACGCAAATAGAAGAAGGAGAGGTATGAAGCGAAGTCAGGTCTGCAAGTGCTGTCAAACCGTGTCTCCCATACAAAATGCATTTCTGATGGAAAACTGAGGCAGAAGCAGAAAGGAACTTATCCTCACAGAACGTGGGGAAAAAAAAAAAAAGGTCCCAAATGTCTGCTGTGAGGTGAAGTGCAAAATTAAGGAAGGTGCTTCTCCATGTGCACTGGTTCTGCTGCTTTCAGCTAAGGACTACAATGCTGAGAAATGCTCTCCCCTGTAGAAATAGTGTCCAGCCTGGGAAGGGGCTGAGAACCCAGAGGTGAGCAGAAACAGGGTCCAGGTGAGTGCTCTGCTTCTCCCTGGCAGCCCCCACAGTGGCTCTGGTAGGGTGTGTGGTGTCTCACTCCAGCCCACTCATCCCTTAGCCCCCAGCTGCATTCACACTTCTTGCTTTGGCTGACACTGGGCCCCCACCTGCACTTCTCAGGCCTGCCTTCAGCACAAGGGCTTTGGTCATCCTCCTTTTCTCCTTGCCAAGATGCTAAGAGTGATAGTGATCAAGGGACATTTACCTCTGTTTCCCTGACTCCCATCCTCAGCTGTTTGACTTTGACATTGAAGTCAAGCCGATCCTGGAAGTGTTGATTGGGAAAACGATTGAGCAAGCTTTGCTGGAAGTCATGGAGGAAGAAGAGCTGGCCCAGCTGTGGGCACATCAGCATGCCTATGCAGAGCTGCGTAATGCAGAGCTTGCTGAAGTACAACGCCTGGAAGAGCAGGACAGGCGATACAGAGAGGAGAAGGTAGGACTTCAGGCAGGCCTGTCTGAATGCTCATCAGAAGAGACAAAACCATTTCCAGTACTGAAAGACAAGCTGTGAAATAATTGGGATGTGCCCAAAAGAGTATTGTCAAGTTTGATATTCCTCAAAGCATTTTGGTGCCATATAGCTGCACTCTGCTATTTGCTCTCGTGCATCAGCAGTGCAGTCATGCTCCAGTGACCTGGTGTACCTGGACACCTCATTGAGAGGCCAAACCCAACAGTACCCTTTGGACCTGGTGCAGCTGTTACTCTAGCCTTTTCATTATAGTAACTGCTAAATGAATAGTCACAGAGCTTGAAAGTAAGAGAGGCACCTCCTAGTCTTTCACACCCAATGCATGCACTACTGCGTGTGCATGCATACCTCTCAAGATGTCCAAGTATTAAGCTATATTAGTACTATGTAGTAAATAGAAAGGGCAAGTCTTAGTTACTTGCTATTGATCAGCCTTATAGATTTGGGGTTTTTTCCATGTTTTCCTGGACCAATTTGAGTTTTAACCTCTAATTACATCAAATAAGATATAAAATTGGAAAGATGAAAAGTTTGGGAAATCCTGACCCAATTTCATCTTATTCAAAGGCCAACAACCAGCTTTATCTGCAATAATAAAGCAAAGAGTCACTCCATCAATGCATATTAAGGTATCAGAGAAGCATTTCATTTGGCCAGCTACAAGGCCCTTATTTTACAGACTTGCCAAAATCAGAAAAGGTATACCAAAGGAATATGTTTCCCTCTAGTCCTTGTGTTTTTTAGTACTCCATTGACTGAGCACAAGGTTGCTTTAAAGCACTTGTTCACATGAGAAGTTTTTGTGACTGTTAGAGGCCATAAATATTGGTACTGTTATCTTTACTATTTATCTCTCACACTGTGATCATTCTTCAAAGTCTAGATCAAAGAGCAACAGCTAAAGGCCTGAAAGTTGTACATGCAATATTGTCTTGACAGGAACGTCGCAAACTCCAGCACATGCAAATGCTGCAGAAACAGAAAGAGACCACAGAGAAAATTGCAGCTCGGGCATTCGCTCAGCATTACCTGGCTGATCTCATTCCCTCGGTCTTCAACAATCTTCGTGACAGTGGGTTTTTTTATGACCCTATAGAAAGAGGTTTGTATTTTCTTTTAGTTTTTCATATGTGAACTGAGTATTACAAAGGTCAAAACAACAATAAACCATAGCTTACTGTCCTATGATTTAGAATAATGTTACAAGACTATTTGTTTACATTTGTGGCTGAAGAGATAGTTTCAAAACTGATTTTTTTTAAAACAAACATTATTGGTCATCTGTGCAAGGAGTCAAGAATAAGCAAGAGCTGACCGTGTTACAGTGAGAAGAGGTGCTTTTGAATTGAAAGGAAATAAATGGGTGGTTAGGATTGGTAGAGCAGAGAGAGAGAGATATCCAAATTGAAGTAAATGTATTTTGATAGGACAGGCAAAGAAATCTGTGTGTCATTCTGAATATTTGTTGATTATCAGAGCAATGGATAAATTAGTCAATTATAATTAAGCCCTGAAAATAATTTTGGAGTTGTACATCGGTGAGTTCCAAGCTTTTGGGATCAGCAGCGTTTCTTACAAGCTACCTTGCTGCACTGCACTTCCCCAGGCAATCCATAGGTGCCCAGACCACAGCTTGGGAATGGATACATTCTCTCCAGAATGAGTCATGGGGTGAATGCAGAAACTGAGTGTATTTTGCAAACAGGCCAGGCCTTGGGACCACAGTGTACAAAGAGCACAAGAGGGAACAAATGATTTTGGCAGACCAGAAGCCAGACATCTTTGGAAAGCAAGGCAGGAAATGTTATTCTTCTGACTTGTTCAGGGTAGTTATTCTCATCTCACTAGAACATTACTGTATGTCTCATCTGTGCTAGCCCTTCAAGGGTGCCAGCCCCCTTTGAAAATCACCAAAATTGAGAGGACTCTGGTTTAGGTCCATAACAGTGAGGAACCTCAGTAAGAGAGGCAGGAGATAAGAAACCCAACACCACCTGAGAGATTTAATCTGGCTCTTGCAAAGCAAGTGTGTGTTGGCAAGGGTTTTCATCTCTTAATGATCGTAGCAAATGAAAAACAGCCCCAAGATCCCATCGCTCATCCTTAATAAAAAGGCATTTTATTCTTTCTTTTTTCCTGCTAAATGCTTACAGATATTGAGACAGAATTCCTTCCGTGGCTGATGACAGAAGTGGAAGAAACACTAGAGAGGAAGGTTCTGGGGAGGACAATGCTTGACTGTAAGTTACCAAATCCAGGAGTGTAATCTGGGCTTCTTGATGTTCTTGATTGTTTTTCCCCAGTCAGAACAAATATCACACTTTACAGGGTCATTATGAGTTAAGGTAGCAGGTGTCATTTTTAGCAAGAACTACAAGTACCCATGGCTTTTTGTGGTTTTTTTTTATTTTTTTTTTTTTTTTTACTATATTAAAACATTTTTAGTGTTGGAAAACTACTACTACATACATCTAGGTAATTGATTTTCAGCTGAAATAATGGAAGTGTCAGTCATGCTGCAGTACTCCCTCTCTGCTGGCTTTATGCTGTTTGCAGCGTGTTGATGCTGGGAGATGCAATACATTTGGCAGAAGCAGAATGGTTAGAGAACACCAATTGTTTTCTCTGCTATAAAACTTTTATTTCTCATGTGTTACACAGCCATCATGGCTGTGCTGTTCTCTGTAGTGTGCCTGATTGTGCCAGTGGGAACAGAAAAGTTTATCCTGTCTACAGCCACATGTATACCATGAAAGTCTCCTAACTTGTTTGTGTAAGCTCCCTGAGCTATGGAGTAATATGTTCATCCTACGTGAAAGGAGATGAAGGATAATTGTGGGCCATGGCTGACTGAGAAGTCCGGTGACCACCACTTTTCATCAAAACAAGGGCTTACGTCCTCAGCAGTCAATAATGATGTCCTTGCTTTTGAAATAGATTAAAATATCAGCCGTCTTTGGGGCTAGTTCAAGCTAGGTATTCAGGTTCTTTTATTAGTCAGTCTTCAGAGGCTGCAGTTGAAACACCTGAACAATCTAAACTCTGCCTTGTGTAGAAACACAAAATTATGATGAGTGCACGTCCACCACGGTGGTCCTAGATCAAACCACTTTTTATACTTGTGTTACATCTTTCATTCCTGTACTTTTCCTCCTGCTGTGATTTGGGGTTTGAATTACAATTGTGTTTGTTTCTTTTGGGGTTATTTTCAGTTTAATGAGGACCCTGAATTTTCTTTGTTAAGGTATAATTTGGATAATTACAGCTGGTCTGTTAGGTACTTCATCCTATGATATATGTGCCTGTATGTACACTTAAGGATCACTTCTTCATGTAGGTCTTCAGGGGGGAGGGAATTTTCTCTCTTTTTAATTAAGAAGTGACTACTAAATAAACATCCCGAGGAGAATGTTGCTGCAGAATACGCTATTGATAAGAACATCTATCATATTCCTGTTAAATCTTTCTGTTTAATTTTTTAACCAGATATTGTGGTCTTGCACCAGTTCTAAGACACACAGAGCATGTGGAAACGGCCAATAAGTAATATCAGCAGCCCCTGTTTTGCTATTTACCCTCCGTATTTCCTGACTTAGACCAAATCACCCACTGTTGAGTAAACATCTCTGCAAAAGGAACTGCAAATTGGATTCTCCAAGTTTTGTAGAGGCAGACACAGCCTTGGCTGAGATAGTTTGTGGCTTCCCCCCCGCTTACGCAGAAGCATAGGAAAAATCTCTAAGGATCCATTTTTAACATATCTGAATGAAGACGCTCCTTAAAGAATTTATTTTTTTACTGTCCAATAAAAGAACTGTGAACTACAAGGGAAGCACCCACAGCGTAAGGTTTGTCCTCTCAGAGAAGTCAACCCATGAATTAACAATGAAGCTCCTCTTAGTACCTGTACATTGTCCTGTTTTCTGTGTTAATCTTCTCTTCCTTAATTGTTGGCCTCTATGTTTCATGTTTAAATGATGTAAGTCAAAGTGAATGTTGATTATTTTTTTTTCTGTTGTGTTCTTTGATTTGGAAGGGGTATAATGTTTAGAAAAAATTACGAAGGCTAAACAGCAAAATAATAAAGAATAGGTGCTTTACAGCTGTTTTTCGGAAAGAGAAAATCTTTTGATGAGTTGCATATTTCCAGTATTTCCCCCTGCCAAAACCATCATGCTGTGTGCAGCCTGGCTAGTCCTTGTTCCTGGCGGGTTGACCCGCTTCGGAAGTGAGGAACAACAGTGAGGAAATGAACAAAACAATCCAGGTGAACCCCTTCAAATCACTGCTTTCAGTGTAAACTGCTCATTTGGCTGGAACTAGGATACCACAGCAGGGATGGTTTTTCTCATTCAAGTATTCTTTCATTTTTAGTGTTATTTTGGTATTTTTTCCCCTGTTTAAGAAGTTACAGGTCAGTAATACATAAAGTAATCTCAAATTATAGTTTGGGGTTTTTTCCCTCCATGTTTGTTAACGGTGGCTTTCTCTGTTTCAGCCTTGATTTGTTCAGTGGTTGAAAAACGCTTAGATGCGTTTAGCCATAAACCTCTGCCTGATCAGACAGAGGCACCTGCTGAAGAGCCCAGGCCAACAGATGCAGCACCCCAGGTGGCTGGTGAGACAGACACTGCTGACCAAGCAGTCACAGAGAAAGAAGAGACCGACCAACCTGTTGCTGAGGAACAGCCTTCACGTCGCATCTCCTTCCAGTTAGAAGAATCAGATCAAGCAGGAACAGAGGATTTGGAAACAGAGTAACAAGCAGGCAAGTCATCAAGTAAATGGAGATGAATGGCTTAGCTGAAAGAAGAAAGAAATTCCTATCCATTTACAAATATTCTGCCTTAGCCCATGCTGAAGGATGAACCTAAGCAACAGCAGAGCATTAAAGCGTGTTTTCCATATGCTGACATTGCTGATTTCAGACTGTAAGAATAAAGACAGAGGTTACTAGTGCAATGAATGGCAGTGAAATTCTATCCCCTTCTACAAAATCCAATCCATCAAAAGCCTGGTATGTTTACAGTTGAAAAGTAATGTTGTCCCCCTCCCCGTGCTAGAAGGTCATGAGAAGGACATTGAGAGCATCCTAATAACCTTTGCAAGTGCTTTGATAACGTTCTCAGAACAGAATTTCCTTACCTTCCCTATTTTGAAAGGTAACTGCTATGGCACTTAAATAAATTTCTTTTCACTCATGTTCGACTCTCCTTTCCTGACAAACTTGGGTGGACGTGTTAGCAGGTAATAGAGCAAATGCTGTTGTTCCTGAAGCTCTTCAGGTTCAAAGAGTTATCTGCCACTGGGAATTTCTGCCAGTGCAAAATCCTCCTCAGCCTCCTGACTCCTGGAGCACTGGTGAGTGGCTGGAGCCATGTGCTAAGTCAAGCCTCGGTTTTCTTTGTAATCGTCCTTTCCTGATGGTTCACTGGAAATTATACCAGATACGACTGACAAAATGCACCTGCATTGCCACATGTGTCTGTGTTCACAGGCCAGCTCCACAAGCGGGGCATTCCCCCTCATAAAAGTACATCTGTGCTCCATTGCAGCAACATCATTTCCTTGCTAGCTGTGCCTGTGGAAAAAGCCTTGCCTTGTCCAGAGTGCTTTGTGCTACCTCCTCTCTGCAGGTCGGACGAGATGTGCGGTAACCCAGCAGGCCAGATCCAAGTCTGAGTGGGATGTCAGAAATGACACCTGAAGAGACAAGTACCAGTTCCACATCTCATACCCTCAAAAGGGACATCCAGACTTTTCACTGGAGCACTTGCATGTATGGCTTCACAGGCAGACCCTGCCTTCCCTCCATCCTGGGCTAGGACATCCAGTGATAATCAGGGCAGCTGTAGCTTACATGGAAAAGCTCCGTTGGAAGGTGTCAGGTATTCATCTCTCTCGGTAGGTAGCTGAAAATCAGAAGTAATGAGATGTAACCACCAACAAATCCACTCAGTGATTTTATGTAATATGAATGTGTTTGAGTGTCTGGAGTCACGTAGTACTTATTGTAGATAGACGCATCCATGGATGCTTTTCAAAGCTGGAATATTCCCCTGTAAACTCCTCCTCTGTTTGCTAAGTTGACAGTATTTCGACAAAGTGTGCTTGTTCTTTTCATTTTTGACTGATTCCTCAAAGCATCCAGCCAAATGTGTTACATGTATAAAATTAAGATAATCGGTGCTCACTACATATGTCTACAAGTTTCTAAGAAGAATTTATTTTTATGCATATGACTGGAATTGAAGGCTTGAAATGAAACTCTGGTTTAGGCATTGAAGTCAGTGGGAGGTTAACCTCAATTTCAGCAGTAGCAAGATTTTGCACTGTTTTTTTTTCCCATGATGATGGATACTCCTGTCATGACTTCAGGTAAATCGGGTAAATAACTTCAGATTAATTTTATCTAGAGAAATAAAAATGCTTTGTGACATGATTCATGAGAATTGTGTTTCCACTCATTTTTGGGACACTGTATGTCAGTTTTAAGGATTCCTCATTACTGAATGATTGTTTTGTCATGTAATTACAGACGACTTAGCATAACCTAGAGGACTGCCATGGATAATTCCTGAAAAGATTCAAGCAAATGCTGACTCAAATATTTTGTTTTGGAACATTACAGGAGGAAAGTGATCAGCTGGAATATTTTCATTTTTGTCACTCCTGCTTTGTGTTTGATTGCTAGAAAATTTACTTGAAGTGTTAAATTATTCTATTGAAAGAGGTTGTGGCATTATTATGTATTCTTAAGTTATTATAAAAAAAAATTAATTGTATGCCCTGCATTTTTACTTCATTAGAATGTATAGCTACAACTCAAGCATTGTGTATTGTGGTAGAGCTTGCTGGAACAGGTCATGTTTTTATGGGGCCATAGAGCCAAGAAGCTTTATACTACATTGACAATTTTTAATTAATAACCCTGTACCTTAATTCAGCCCCAGACATGGGCAGGTTGGCAGAGAAGGTGACCCCTTGCATCCTGTTGGTCACTGGAGAAGCGGAAAACCATGAGCAACCGTGAGGAGGGGAAGAGGGATATGGGGTAATGGCGTAGCTGTCACCTGTCTGGGGTGATGCCAGCAGACACGCAGGCTGTGTGGCACAGGCCTTGCTGCTGGAAGGGTGGCTTGGGTGCTGGCATGCAGGTGGCTAGAGGAAGCCACTCTAGCCATGCCTGGGTGCGAGCACCACATCCCTCACACCACCTTCCCACAAGGGCCCCTCTTGATGCCCTTCCCCTCCAAATCCCTTTTCTCTGGTCTGTGTCCCCAGCAGGCAGGTAAGCCTGTGGGGTGGCCAGCTCTGCACCCACAGTGGCATGGGGGAGGCCCGGGGGTCTGTAGCTCCACTCCCTGCTCAGAACCACAGCAGCATCCCTCCAGTGTGTGTGCGAATGCAATGAGGAGCAGAGAGGGGACAGAAGGAGGCGGTGCTGCAGGCACTAGAGGGCAGGACAGGCCACAGCAATCCGGCTGCGGAGACATGTAGAAAGACTCTGATGTCACCTGTTGCCCACCCTGCACTAGTGGTACCTGTCTGGACTTCGCTCCTCTGATAAACCCCAAAGGCATCGACCTTTTGCAGAATCCTCTTGTATCATGAGAAGTTAACACATAGGGTCGCCCAACATAGTTTGCACTAAGATCATAGAATCCCAGAATGGTTTGGGTTGGAAGGGATTTCTAAAGATCATCTAGTCTAATCCCCCTGCCATGGACGGGGACATCTTTCACTAGATCAGGTGGCTCAAAGCCCTGTCCAACCTGACTGTGAACACTTCCAGTGATGGGGCATCCACAACTTCTCTGAGCCTCGTGGGTTTCAGGGCTTTCTAGTTGCAGCTGTTAGTGTTTCCATGCCATGGCTCAGCACTGGGCTGAACCGTTTTGAAAAGTTCAGCAGAACTGTTTCAGCCTGTCCTTTGAATGAGATTGGAGGAAAAATACATTTCCCTGCCTATATTCAACCATCTTTTCAGATCATAAGCAACTCTTAACACATATGTGTGCTGGACTCAGGCTTCTTGGTGCTTTCTCCCAGAAACATAAGAAACTGGACACAAAGTTCATTTTGGCATGGAACTGTGTCCAAAGGCCTACTTGTGGCATGGAGGAGTTGAGCTGGTACCTCTTCTAGTCACGCCCAGGCTGGGTACCTGTCAGTAAAAGCCTCAAACAGTGGTGTGTGTGTGCAGTGAGGCTTACTATCTTTGTGTGTTTTTTATCAAAAGCAGCTGGTTACAATATGACTGTATCCATGTGTTTTCCATCTATTGATTTCTCTGCAAAGAGCCAAAGCATTACTCCAACAGCCAGCTCAGCAGTTTAGCTCCATGTTTACTTCAACACCCACTTGAGAAGTGGGAAAGACATTCAGACTTACTGCCTGGCCCTGATTCAGTTTGGGAATCCTCTTGATAGTGATGGACCAAACTGGACTCTCTGTGTTTCTCCACTGCACACTGACAGCCTGGGAGCATTTTGTTGAGAGTAAAATTCATGGCTGGTTTGTTGCTGGCAGAAATCATGGGTTTCAAAGAGATGCAGAGAGAACGAATAAAAAGAATACACCTATGAAAGTATTCGCTCTATTGCTTATATGCATGTGTTAAACATGAACCTCTCCTTATCCATCTTTAATGGCTACAGCCTTGGGAGTCCATAGAAGCTGTATTACTTTTAACAACAGCAATATACAGCAACAGTCCTGTGGTCTTCACAAAGCCATGATGATTCCTGTCCTGCCCTCCTGCAGGAGACACATTTAGACCAGTAGGACAGTCTCTGTTATATCAAAACAATGAAGCTCGCCACTTTACTGGTATGAACCAGAAGCTAGACATGGCCTGGAGTACATTTCAGTGGTCTAGCTGTGATGCTGTTTTATTGCAGTATTATTCTAGTTATAAACCACCTTATGTCGCCTCGATCCTCCTCCTCAGCCCCCACCACAAACATTTGGCCCTCTCAAATTGCCCAGGCCTTGGTTATTAACATATGATAATATTAGCATACATATATCGTCACTGGCAGTTTAAGTTCATAAACTTGACAGGCAACTGTAGCAGCTGTGGTAGTGGCATATCCCATACTGCCGACTGCCATGGGGTTCATGATTTCTGGCAAAAAGTCTGGCTGAGAGGCTGATGCAATAATGCTTGAAACTGCCCTAGAAAGATTATTTTTATCTATCAGAGTCCTATCTGGATCTTTCAGCCACTGCTGAGACAACATATACTGTTAAAAATGACCTAACAGTGGAATTTTACTCAATAGGAATTGTGATTCAATCATGCTTTGGCAACTGAAATTATATCTACTTTAAACATAGCTTTTTTTAAGATGATCATGTCAGAAAGTACTCATATGTATGATGGATTACAGAGTATGTCTAAATGATTATTTAATGGGCAAATAGCAGCGGGCCAACCATTACCATTTTAATTAATGGTAATTAATCAATCAAATATATTTGTTTCAAACAGAGTTATCTACAGTTCTCCAAAACACAACATGCTGAATCACAGGACCACTGAAAGGTCCAGCTAGGCTGGAAGGGATCTCTGGATCCCTGGTCACCTGGTCCAACCTCCTCTAAAAGCAGGGCCCTAGATTAGGCTGGATTTTGACTGGCTGGGGTGTAGCCCTGCTGAAATGGGTTTGGGGGTCCTGCTGGCCGTCAAGCTGAGCAGCTGGGCAGCAATGCCCCTTGCAGCTGTGAAGGCAACCCATGTCCCAGGCTGTGTCAGCAAGAGCATAGGCAACAGACCAATGGATGGCATTATTCCACTCTATTTGGCATTTGTTGGTCCTCACCTGAAGGACTGAGGCCAGCTGTGGCCTTCCCCAGCTCAAGAGAGGCACTGAAAAATTGGAGAGGGTCCCATGGAGGGCCACAGAGATGGTTAAATGCAGAGAACTTGCCATAGGAAACAAGACTGAAGGAACTGTGTGTGTTCAGCCTGGAGAAGAGAAGGCTCAACTGGATCTTATTACGGTTTTCCAGCACTGAAATGGTGGTTATGGAGAAGGTGGAAGCATCGTGGGCCAGGGCAATCCCATGCACAAATACAAGCTGGGCAGAGAATGGCTTGAGAGCAGCCCTGAGGAGGACTTGGGGGTGTTGGTTGATGAGAAGCTCAACATAACCTGGCAATGTGCGCCCACAGCCCAGAAGGCCAATCATATCCTCCTGGCTTGCATCAAAAGAAGCAGGTCAAGGGAGGTGATTCTGCCCCTCTACTCTCATGAGACCCCACGTGGAATATTGTGTCCAGCTCTGGAGCCCCCAACGTAAGAAGGACATGGGCAGGTCCAGAGAAGGGCCACGAAGATGACCAGAGGGCTGGAGCACCTCTCCTATGAAGACAGGCTCAGAGAGCTGGGGTTGTTCAGCCTGGAGAACAGAAGACTCTGGGGAGACCTTATAGCAGCTTTCCAGTATTCAAGGGTGCCTACAAGAAAGCTGGAGAGACATTTTTTACAGGGGCATGTAGTGATAGGTTGAGGGGGAATGGCTTCAAACTGGAATAGGGGAGATTTAGAATAGATATTAGAAAGAAATTCTTTACTGTGAGGGTGGTGAGACACTGGAACAGGTTGCCCTGGGAAGTTGTGGATGCCCCATCCCTGGAAGTGTTCA